TATATCGATGAACCCAATCATGCAGGATATACTCCCTTACTTACTGCCGTCTTTTACAAGGCGAAAGAATGTGCAGAGTTTTTGATAACGGTAAGTATTTATTTTAACTTCTTTCTCTGCATTGCACATTTGATTATCAATAAAGTCGGTATCGATGGCTTATCAGCCCATTCATACATGGCAGACTTTAATTTTTTCTTCAATTATTGAAAATTGAATGTCTAAAGATGAGATATTGAGCTACTCGGTGCGTCGTACATTTATCGATGCAGATGAAAGTATCACGGACACTGAACCGTCGCGTTAGATCGAGAGTGTATTTGATTATTTTAATATTTTAATATCTGAATAGAACTTCAATATGTCATACATGAAATATTTTCAGTGCCCTTTTATTATTCTAGGATTACAAGGTCAAATTAGTGCATTCGAACAACGATGACGAAAATATTTTGCACATATGCGCCAAGCAAAAAGAAAATAAGAACTTATTTGATATGATATGGAGTAGACTAGATGACGAACACAAGGATAAGCTGATAATTCAGGCTGATGCCGAGGGTAATACCCCATTACATACGGCAGCTCGTGCCAATAATGCACACATATGTGAAAAATTATCAAAACATATTGCTGAACTGCAAAAAATTGGGAAAGAAGTGAATATTTCATCGAGTAGAACGGTGCTTCATGAGTTAGCCGAAGCTGGACATATCGAAATTATGGAAAAAATGTGTCCTCCTCCTGAAAATGACCAAAACATATTGATTGCTAGCAGAAAAAAGGAATTGATCAAGAGAGATGCTAAGGGATATACTTGTCTCCATTTTGCCGCTGCTCATGGTAAGCAACTTTGTATTATTTGGAGAGCGATGAGAAAAAAGAATATATAAATCAGTAATCGAAGCTAATAGGAAAATCTTCATTGGAGAAAGAGTTTATTTGACTCATACATTTACAGAAAAAACAGTTTTCCTATCTTTGCACTTAGGTTTACTAGTTATTTTGCCATATTCTTTTTTAAGCAAGCTATTTAGCTTTTTACTTCTTCATTCTGGTCACGTGTTTCTATATTTAATCTTTTCATACGTACTCAAAGTTCATTTATTTATTGAAAAAAAAAGGACAATAGAAAGCAGATTTTATACAAGATAACAGTTTACGGAGGAAGTCTTCAAATGATGCATGAATTTTAATTTGCGACTATTTATATTATGTAGATCATAAAAAGTTATGAATAGCCTGACAAGAGTTCGGACCCATAGCTTATTGCTGCTGAGATACCGCATGTTTACGGCACTTTCGAAGCATAGTGCTTTGGTTTCCCTCAGGAACATCAGAAAAACTGACTTTAGAATTTCGACTTGAAACTTCGTATAATGACCTGCTTTAGTGAGAATAGTTTATTGTGAAAGTTTCGGATCTTCTGACTGCTCCTATTGTAAAGTGAAAACCTCGGAAACTGCGTGTGTGTGCCAGCGATGCACAAGCATACTTTTACCATAATTGTATTCTATGATAAGGGTAACCAAGAGATTTGAAATTTTCACAATAAATTATACTTACTGAGGCTTGTTACTATACAAAGTTTCAAGTCGGAATTTCCAACTCAGTCTTCGTGATGTTCCTGAGAGAGACCGTGGTATTGTGCTTCGAAATTACCGTATATATGCAGTATCTTAGCAGTAATAAGGTATGATTATTGAAAATTAAAATATCTTTTTATTCTTGAACCTATCATACCAGCAGATTGTTATGAAGTTGCAAATAAACAGCTATAGAACAAGAAATATTGAAAGTATCAAGAAAAATTAAAAATAACGCACAGCTCCATCGTATGATTACACCGTCGTAGGTGGTTGTATGAGTATCCCTTGGTTATCAGTTCGAAATAGTTCTTCTTGCCTTTTTTATTGTGTCACTGATTTGAGTCAATTATCATTTTCGTGTCTTATTATTAAATCAGTTTAATTAAGAGTCGTGACACATACATTTGGTAGTTCGAGACTGTTTTTGTTCCACAATTATCCGCTATGTAAATGAGAATAGTGGGAGCTGTCACTGAGTAAAAGATAGGGAGATCGATAAATAACACTTCATCTTGCCGCTTGCTGTAGGATAAAACATGATTTGTATTTTTTTGTCGATGGGTTTGAGATCCAACAAGTGAACCAAACAGACACATCTCTATTCGATTCAATTGGATCTACTTTTTGAGAAATCTAATAATGAATCGATTAGATTTACTGGAAATGAATTCTATTTGGGATTCAAATTTCATTTCGCTTAGAAAATGTTTCAAAATTTGAAAATACTCTTTGTGTAATCGTTATGGAGGTTGTTATCTGACAGAAACATATTCGTTTCCATGTTCACTGTAAATTTATATGCAGTTTGAGAGAGCTTTCTGCTGATCACATTAATACCGTCTTGTATGAAAATAGGTTATCAAGGGAAGAAATAATGCTGCGTCACAATATTAAGCTTATAGCCCTTAGGACTGTTAATGACTTGGGTAAACTCTTATGTTTTTATTCATCATACGCTTGAGTGAGACAATAGAAATCAACTCAAAATAGTGCTGATCTGCTTTAGGTAGTGATTGTAGCATTAGGAGAATGATCTTAAACATGGTTTTGTCAATTGCCATGTGTACAAATTTTGTTAAAAAATCTCAAAATGTCACCAGAAATGTGGTAACAATATTAAATAAATAAGTTCTAAATGCCGTAAGATGCCTTTTTTTCATTTCCCTAATATAAATGAATGAAAGGGAAGTAAGTTGAACCATTGAAAGTATTATTCGTGTTTTAATCATATGCTTTGTGACAAAATATCTTCAAACAATGTTTCATTCGATGGTAATGATGCACCAAATCATTGGTATCGGCGAAATGCACCTAAATGAATCTTTCAATACATCAAGTCTATGATACACGAAGAATGAACAATGCTTAAAATTTGAGAATACTAGAACCTATGAAAGGCTACATCTTTGTAATATGCTGATATTAGTAGACGCCAAAACCAGGCAAAAACATTCAAGGAGTAGTTTGAATGACATGGAAAAAGAGATGGAAATCTTTCGTTGAAAGTTGACAATATAATTTAGTTTAAGATCTGATCTATTCAGATTCCTTCTTTTGTGGAACTCACGTATGTTTTCGAAGAAAATAGTGAGTGTAAGTTTTCAGTACGAGGTTGGCGGCTCCACCCTCCCCCACCCCCACCTCATTACAGACACATAGCAACGAGAAAGAGAACATTACAAACATACACCTCATTATAGCCCCCCCCCCCCCATTACAGACCATAGCAACCCCAGGCAGGCAAAAAATAAGGGAGGACACCCGATATGACTAGTCTCAAATGTCCGCACTACCGTCTGGCCTAGTCTTAAGTGATTTGCAGCCCGTCAGGACCGGCTGTCTTGACGCACAAAGTCTAGCAACTTAATATAGACTAGTCCGAAACATGCTCTCACCGTGTCATGACTAGTCTGTTTTGTATAATCATACTGTCCAGACGCATCAGTCTAACGATAAAACTCAGAAGAAAAGGAGAGCATAGGTGGATTCGAACATTCGATCCGACAATATTGAATAGCTGACTAGTCCAGATTATTTTCAATAGCAATCCAGACTAATATGAAGAGCCACTTGTATTCGTCATGACTGATTGTTTTTAAGGAACTAACGTCAGTTTTGATTCAGAATAGTCTGAACTTCTTAGATAGTCTCTTTTGGTTACACTTAAGTATACGAGCAACTCGTTTACGCTCGTTTATACGGAAACTAGAACGATGTATCCAGGGAGAGTTGTCTATTGTACGTTCTTTAAATTTTCAGACTGTAATAATAATTAAGAATAGTTTTATTAGAACAATGAATTTTAGTATTTTTCTATGAGAATCTTATTATATCTTAATATAAAATCTGATGATTTGAAGTGAAAAAGAGATTTAAATCAGAATTATAGCTTACTTTCAAATTCAAATCGGAAATGTTGTAAATGAAGATATACGTAAGCTATGATATGAAAGGCAAGATTTTTTGAAAATATACATTATTTTTATTTTCTTTTGAAATTTTAATTGTTTTTCAAATAGAAAATAATATTTTCCAAATATCGAGGTTCAAAAAAATTTTCTTTTGAAGGAAAGTTAAAAAATTCTCAATCAATTTTATTTAGCTTTATTTAGCTGATTTGCTATTGTATATTAAACATTTTTTTATTAATATTCACACTTGAGAAAGTGTAAGTCAAACTGTATTAACTAGCATTCTAGAATGTCTATTGACATGTTAAAGTTGATCACTTGATCATATGGTTTAATCGGGGAAAGTATAGGTAAGTGACATATGCTACGGATGTTCGAATCTAACTATGCACATACTTCTATCATTTAGACTAGTTCGAACTAGACCACTACATATAAATAGATCCTAATAGATGTCGTGTCACTGACCCTCGTCCTTTTTTAATTTACAATCTATTTCGGACGAGTCCAGATCGATGCTAAACATTGCAAACGATTTCAGACTAGTCATCTAGGAGTTCGTTTTGAGAAAAAGACTATACCTAACGTGCCGTCTGGACTAGATAAAAGATTAGTCTTTTTACCCGTCTTTTGCTCGCCTGGGACTTCACAAAAAGAATTCTACTCGAAGTATATAAATAAAAAAAGCAAGATTTGCTGACAATCAATTATCATAAGAAAAGAATTATCGTCTTTGAGAGAATTTAAACATTATATATTTTGCCATCAGCACAGTGAAAGTAAAGAAGATATGTGAGTTCCACATTTCAGCCCCAAAGGGGCTGCGCTAACAAGCTTTTTTTCAATTTATAAGAAATTGTGAAGTTTAAGATGTCTTCAAAATCCTAAGCAACCCAAATCACAGCTACTTCAGATATAGAAAAACTTAATGTCAATTTGAGCACGATTAGTACTCAGTCTTGTTGTAGTTTTCTTCATTTTTACAATATTCGTATAAAAAATGTTGTTTTTCCCTAAAGGTCACATCAAGATTGTTGAGTATCTGATTGAGAAGATTAAACTTGAAGTCGATACAATTGGTGATCGTCGACTTACACCTTTGCATGTAGCCTGTGAGAATGGATATCTTAACATAGTTGAATATCTTCTCGAGAAGCATGCATCAACTACATTACGGAATGCTCGATGCTACAATTGTTTAGAAATAGCCGTTACTAATAAACAAGCCGAAATTGTTAAAAAGCTTTTCGACAATTCAACATGGCGGGAAATGATGCGAAATGCTCAACCTATTGATAATAGTGCAGCTTATGATACTCCCATGCGAAAACTAATCCGATATTTACCTGATGTGGCTGTCTGGGTCATTGAGAATAAACTTACAAGTGTTATTGGTGGACCTGGACAAAAAATATACAAAACCGTCTATGATTACGAATTTTATGAAGATATGTGCGCTGTTAAGGATTGGTATACTAAAGGTTGGTATCACATCGAAATCATGTTTGTATTTGCATTCAAGGACGAATCAAAGTATCACCATATTTTCTCAACAATTTATGTAGTACTCTCAGATCACATTGAATATCAAATATGAGCTTTTCCTTCAAAATATACACTGCTAAGACTTTTAATAACAGTAATTGATGATGATAGTTTCAATCATTTCAGTTGTTTCTATCTTTAAATAGGAATATTTCAAAAAATGTATTGTTTTGATACATAGATTGTGTCTCTGAATATATATAGGTGCCAATACAATAGAATGAAAAAAGCTGAAAGTTTTAGTGATCAAAAGTTTCAAACAAAACTTTCGAGGCTCATTTTCAAGATGATCTCAGAAGGAGTATATAGATTGCTTAAAAAAGTGCGCTAATAAGATGCAAAAAAAATGAAATTTATCACAATATTTTAGTTTCGTTAATTGACAAGCTATCATTGCTTAATACTTTATGATGATCATAAATATCATAACTATCTTGTTTCAAAATGGTTTACAATCTAAAAAAACTTAAATTATTTGTTAGTCTGTTTCCTTTGACTCCGTGCATGACAGTTGTTGCGCTTTTCATCTATCAAACTCGAAGAACAAGATGATGATGCCAGGTTTTTGTTATTCATTGCATGTTCTTTCCAACCATTCCTGGGAAAAAACTGAAATCAGTTTGCACGATGAACTCTATTCGAGCTAGCTATGATCCTAACCTATTTCTGAACCTTCTAAAATATTAATCTAGCTTCGAAAGATTGTTATATTGCTCGATGTCCCGTGAAGAATGAACTTGAAAAGAAAGAAATCTATTAATTCAAGAAACTTTTCTAAAAATGTAAGAAGTTGTTTTTCTTTAGAGCTTGTCCGTAGGTAACGCACTCACGTTTCGTCAACTTTCGATCGGATTTTTTTAGCAACAACACAGTGTAGAGCCTTGAAACTTGGAGGATATATGTATGTTATGAAACACTTTAACATGTATGAGTTTCATGCAAATCGATTTTACGGTTTCGTTTTTATACTAAAAATACATGCCGGTAACGCACTCACAAAAAAGGCCCTCCGTTCATTGGGTGTTGTTAGAACGTGTGAAATTTCTGCAAACACTTGAATTGTAAATACAATAGCTACATTGTAATTTAAAGAAGATAGTTAGGGCTCTCTATATGAAAAATTAGTTATGAAATTCGTTGGGTTACTGAGAAGTTATACTACTAATATTGGGGTAACGCCCTCACATTTCGTTTTCTGATCATTTGTTCTTGTTGACTTACTACTTTCTTTCATACTTGCTATGGTAGAGAAAGCTCAGTTTTCTTTCATTTTCGAGGTATTACGGGTCTTCACGTTGAAATACAAACATGGCTCGCTGAGTCTCCCTGGGCTTTAGAATAGCAGTCGTTAAAAAAGAACATCCTTCATATAGTTCATCGGGACCTTCTGATATATGCATAAAGTACAAGATGCAACTTCACAGGTTATTCTACTGTTTCTCTGAAGATAATAATGAGCTCTTTACTTTCTACTTTTGAACCAAAGGTCTCACAGAAAAGAGCAGGAGCCTTTGAATTTAAACTATCTGGATAGCTCAGGAATGACACTATCTCGACACATTTTGTATCAATTGATTTTATACTTGGTGTTTATCAGGGGAAAACACATGTTACTTCTGCATTCGCACAACAGAGTTCTTTTCTGCAAGTGCCAGTTTCTTAAAGTTTCGGTGAATCCGAAGACGACGAAGATTCCTAGCCAAAAGCAGCTTTGCACGGAACAGCCGCATCTGTCTACTACAAAAATTCTTTCTCAAAAGTATCATGCTATTTTCGTGATATAATCTTAATATTCACGAAATAAACTCGTACTTTCTTGGGGATTTCCATTCTTAAAGATCTAATTAATGCTTCTATCTTAGTAACAAAAGTGTCTTTTGCCGTTTTTCCGGCCTTTAAAGCTTTTCGAACGAAATNTTCTCTCAACACCAGAAGTATTGCACATCACTTCACACATATCACCAAGTATCTTGGAACCTGTTTCTAATACTAGGACTACAGGGCCTAAGAGTATCCCCCAACAGTAGAGGTTTAGGACCTAAGGGTACCTTCCTATAGTAGGACTTGAGAAGGTAAGGGTAACCCGAATAGTAGGACTTGAGAAGGTAAGGGTAACCCGAATAGTAGGACTTGAGAACCTAGGGGTACCTCTCTATAGTAGAACTTCAGGACCCAAGGGTACCTTCCTATAATAGGACTTCAGGACCTAAGGGTACCTCCCCTATAGTAGGACTTGAGGACCCAAGGGTACCCTCCAATAGTAGGACTTCAGGACGTATGGGCATCTCCGAAAAGTAGGGCCGTTACCCCGTTCCCGGGTAACTGGTAACGGATAACTTCTTCCGTAAGAATCGTTATCGTTACCGGGTAACGGTCTGGGAACGGTAACTTCCCACCCCTAGTACTAACACAGCTCATCTGTCAGATGACTTAGCATACATTAATAATACTTATTCAAAGAAATACGTATATTGCTAAAGCAATTATTAACAGCAACCCGATTATATTTTGAGGCTGAGCCTAGTAGAGCATTGTATGAAAAATCTGACTATGCTTATGCAGGTGGTGTTTTTTCTAATTTTTCAACATATTCCACAGCCTGTTAGCTTCTCACAAAGAACGCATTTATATGAAGGATGTCTGAGTAGCATTATTGATTTGCAAAAAGAACGATGTATACGGCTCTTACTTTCACTCTTCTCATTGGTATTAGTATTGCCAGTGAGTTACCATCGATCAGCACTCGATTACAGAAATTTCAACCGATCTCGCCAACTTCTGCTCGAATTACGGTTGACGTGGATCCCTGTTTATCATGTGTCAACGTAATAGGAGAGATCAATGCCTTAGTCTGTGAAATCACTAATAAAGGAATTCTGCTAAATTGCGATGGCTTGTGTGATTTTGTCGCCAATAAAACAGGTTCCAAGATACTTGGTGATATGTGTGAAGTGATGTGCAATACTTATGGTGTTGAGAGAACCGTCTTGCTCGCGATGATTCTTAGTGAAGATCCGATTTATGATTGCCAATCTGTAAAACTTTGTCCGAGTATGGAATAATAGATTTGTTATTTTCTCATCCTAGTGTTTTGTCAACTTTCTGATGTAGTTACATACGGTGGCGATGCTAAATTTACAAACTTTGGTGTTTCACCAAAGACTGGCATTCCTACCTCTAAATTCTTTCTTGACTGTTCTTTTTCAACAAAGTATGGCACGGGTACGGGTAGCTATCTCATCACAATTACTAATCCAAAGGGGGAAGCAATATCTGGTCATTACTGGATCGAAGAAAAACGACCTGGTTCACACACTGAACTGATTCCTCTTGATGCTATCCAACAGACATGCAATTCTACCCTAGGTGAGACTCATTAATGTAACAAACAATAGGTTAGTTCGTTTCATTTCATATTGAGTAGGCTTGTATGACGACTGGCTTGTTGGTACTTACACCGTCACAGCCGAATTCTGTAATGGAGTATGTGGATCATCCCAACCTTATACCAAGATCTATGACTTTGGCAACAGCTCATTTACAGTCACCAAATGAACGAATATCAAGTTGATTGTTCTTCTTCAATATCTTTGTAATTCTACTTGATATTGTTGCGTAATTTAAACATATAAAATAATTCACTAAACTACATATGGAGTTAGGAAGCAACAAAATCTTCTATTATGATTGGTGCAATGTGTAGCTTTTTTCGGAGTATGGATGTGAGTGAGTGTGGATGCGGATGTGAATGTGAATGTAGTGATTGGAAACCAGATTTAAACTGACACCGACCGCCATGCCTATACCCTTTTGCCAGTGCTTGCGTTTGTTACAATCTCCACATGATATTGATTTTAAACGAATTTCGATGTAGCGGATGACAAATCATGAATGGCCGCATTTTACATTTCAGATTGTAATCACGGAATAAGTCTTATTTAAAAAAACAAAATATACCATAAGATGCAGCGTGAAAAGCTCTATAATCTGAACAGCGAAACTTATTTTATTTGCGCACTTTTTGTTTTCAAAATAAGCGAAAATCAGTGAGACTAATTTTTCATGCTTCGAACGATATGTTTTTTTTTGCCATATGATGAATTTCTTTTTCTTATTTTATCTTTCATTATCGAATATATTTTACCAAAAATATAGAAAATATACCACAAGGTGCAACGTGAAAAGCTCTACAAATTACATCGAAAAGTTCATTTTATAAATGCATTTTTTGTTTCAAAATGGACATAATTCTGTGCAACCGGCTTTCCACGCCACGAACAAAAACGTTTTTTGGTACATGAGGGATTCCTCTTCTAGTTTCATTGGTTAATGCATCATAATCTTTTACACCATTCCATTGCATATTATTCACAATAGTATCCCTCACATAATAAACCAAAACATTGAGAATTTGCCATTAATTATGACCGCCAATATTTCTCTTTAGTGAAACAAATGGAAAAAAGTGATTTCTTGTATGTCAAAAAACGATTTTCTTCGTAGCGTAGAAAATCGGTTACACAGAATTATGTCCATTTTGAAACAAAAGATGCATTTATAAAAGAAACTTTTCGATGTAATTTGTAGAGCTTTTCACACTGCATCTTGTGGTATATTTTCTTTTTCTTGGTAGGGTGTGGGTGTGGGTGATAAATGGCATGTTGACTTATCCACACGCACACCGCACACCAACATACACCCAAAACCACACACCCACACCCACCCACAGCCACAGCCACACCCACACCCACACTCCACACACACCCACCCACACCCACATCCACACACCCTCAAATATAACGCATGAAATCATGAGAAGTGTATTTATTTCATTGATTGTTCTCTTTATCAATCTATGTTTGGGTGTTATTGTTTTTTTTGATAAATCAGGTCAAAACCAGAAACGTTTTCGGTGTGGTACGTAATGCATGAAACCTCTGCTTAATTAATCCGATTTGTTTCGTCGACTTTTATTTAGATATTAATATTAATGGAGGGCATGGTGAGCATGTTTTGCATGTGGCTGCTCAATCATCTGCCATCTGGTCTAATGTAAGCTTTATTGTGACTGTCTATGTGGAAAAAGTCTCAGATTTAACATCTGAAGCTCTACATGAGAAGATTCTTTCTTTATCGAAGTCTACTATAATAGGAAGATCTTACTAGTATTGTGGTAGTTCTTTAAGATTTTATAGTTAATAAAACTTAAACTAATCGATCAGATTTCAATTTCATACCTCAAAGCTTCTTTTTTGCCAATAAGTAATTTTTGTCTAGCAATTTATATCGGCGACTTCTAGAGAACAAATTTAAAAACCTCAAGTAATGAGAACATTATTCTATTCTCATTTATTGAATAGTACTTTGAAAACGGATATGAGTGTCAGTAGAGTGTGAGATGGCACACATCTTATTCAGATATGTTAAAGCATTAATGTACTTTGAAATGTTTTCATCGTACAGTAAATGAGTTACCATTTTACTAATCTAGCCATTTCTTTGCATTTTAGACCCAAAAACATGAAACGATTTCGCAAAGCTCTAATCATCACACAGATACAAAAGTACAAATCACTTTCCAAACGCAATCATCGATGACTGAACTTCCTGTTCCCGACATAATACACAGAATCTTCGAACTTCAGCCTGATGTCAATGACGAAGATGATGAGGGACGCACTCCACTTCACTTAGCTGTACAATACAATCGATATGCTTATGCGGAGTTATTGATCGCTCGAGGAGCCAATGTCATGGTAA